CTCCTGGATAGTCGGTGGAGGGAATATTTAGACTTGTGCTATATTTAGACAGAGCTCTAGAAGGTACTGCAACCTTTCCTCTTTATTTTGACCCAGGTATTAGGAGAAGCTTCTGGAAACTTTGTCTTTGCACATAATGGTTGCAATTGCAGGCCTATTATCTGACATTGCATCTCAAGTTACAAGAAGTCTAATAATTTTGTGGAAATCATTCTTAACCTCAGCATCATTTACGTCTAAGTTTGAGAGTTGTCTCTTTGTTGCAGTTAGGTTGATATTACTATCACTGTCTTTGTATTCTACTGTCTTTGAATTTGCACTGCCACTATAATACCTTGACAGTGATTGTGATCTGAACGGCATTTGTTTCATATACACGTAAGAATATGTATAAACCAATTAAGCCTGACGCGCCGATATGGTATGTTGCTTCTTATTATAAGCACGAGTTGCTGAAGACCAGTTCGTACCCGGATCTTCTTGGTTAATGAATAATGGCTTGACAACTGGGCTGCATGGAGCTAGATTGGTCAGAGACAAGAATGCTGTTGAAGAAATACAGTTCGACCTATCCCATGTATAGTGTAATAAAGTACACTTCTGCCAGGAACTATTATAGTTAAAGTACGGGTACGCTTGCGTCCGAGTGTTTTCACGTTATTATAGTTCAGCGCAAAAGTGTACAGTAATTTTATTACATTATACATGGGGTAGGGCGAACTGTACTTCTTTCTAAGATGCCAAATTTAATACTTACCACCGATTGATCTAAAGCAGAAAACAAACAGAAAAACTACAATGTCGGCGACCTAAATTAACAATCCTCGTTGAGGACAAACTGATGTGCTATTCTATTGACGTGTCTACACCCTTCGTTAACACGTACGTTATCAAGAAACCAAGACTTAGTGTTGAACAATTTGAAGACGGTTTATATTCAGGTTAAATATCTTCTATTTATTATTTTTAAAACAATAACGAATGGTTTAGCAGACAGGTACAGCCACCAACTATCGACGATAATACAAGCAAAGGCCAATACCAGTCACTGGATGTGTCACCCATCGTACTCAGAACTACGCCACTGGAAACACAGGTACATGCTGCGAAGACCAGAATACATACACACGCCCTCTTCATTCTCTGACTCAGCCTTGTGGCTGGAACACAACTGTTAAACTTCAACCTTGTTTCACGAAGACGTTCGTGGAATGTACGAACCTTGCTGTGGATGTTGGTACTGAGAGCCCAATAGGTTAGAAATAAAAAAGTGCGATGCTATTTGATATGGTAAGACTTGTTTCCGAGAATGATTCTGCTTTCGTATAGCATGGTATCATCTGGATAAAATTCAGAGAAAGAAGTATGAAAACCAAACTTGAATATATCCTGGAAGCTATTACCGAGACGTTGCAACATTTGGCTGACTTTGACTGCTGATAGTCCCATGATAACCCGGACAATGCTATCAGTTTCTGGATACTAGTCAGTGTGTCCTGTACATCATCTGTTTCACTGGATGAACCAAGGGAAACCTCGATGTGTCTCTTTGTAAGTTATACCATCTGATTGTTCCGTTTACAGTGTTTGAAGTAACTGTCTCCATGTGTTACTCCGGTCACCATTGAACGCCGAATGCACATTAGGTCCACAAAACGTTGAAATGGATATTGGGCGTAAGCAAATATGATCAGTCAACACCTGAGGCATTACACCTCAGAAGCTTATCATTCCATTTGAACGCAGTCTAAATAAGTGCCGAATACCCCTTTTCCATTATTCGATATGTGAATTAATATGCTTCACTCTGGTACATAGCAACATGATTTTGCTCCTTTCAACCATATGGAAACACCATTTGGCGCATATGGTCTCGTTGTCAGCAAAACAATCAAGTTATAGACCGTCAGTGCCCGACCACCAGTCATGACACTACATCAAGTTTCAACAACGCACGTGTGAAACAGGTTCCATCCAGCAACCCTTACAGCCTGTACCGTATCTGGCAACAGATGTAGCTGTACGAATAGACATCTACGCATCTTCGGCATCTGTGAAAGACGCTCACGAGCAATTTTACAACGGAACATTAACGTCCACCTCTCAGATGCAGAAGGGAATACTGGTGATTGGAAGCACGTCAATGGAGAAGTGTCATGTTTTTTTCCTTTACTGAACTGACGGCATGACACATGTCCTGTGGCGTACACATTCAGGATGAATCAGATTCTGACAGTATCATTCAATCCTTGACAGCAATCAACATTTGCAAGCATTTCTGTTTCAATGCATTATAAATCCAACGTTTTGCCTTCCTCGACAATTTCTATGCTTTTCAAGCGAATGACCATTACTTATCAGTTCTGATTAATGGCATTTGAAAAAAATCAACATGATCGCTAATACTACCTTGTATTCCTTTTTGCTTCATGTTAAATGGCGAGGCACCATCTGATCATCTGATTTTGAGATGACCCCTTTTGTCATGTACTGATAGTGACTCCATGCACATTTGCATGTCCAAGTGGCTGTTCCGATTAGTCGCCTTATGCCCTGGACAGTTAAGATGTTATACTGTCTTGACATAATGACAGCTTATATAGACAACTTGTTTATTTTTAAATCATAATTCATGAAATTCAAAATTCACAATGGTAGACTAAAACAGGTGACACGTTAACAATAGTTGATATTTAAATATAATGTCTGTCGACAAAGGACAGTAAAACGACTTGAATATCACAATTTGAAATATTTAAACTAATATTAAAATTATACACACATTTGGGACAACACAATATAAAACGGGTTATAGATCGCCAACAACTAAGGGTAGATCACCATACTAGGAACCATGGGGGCTATTGTTGGCAAATTTAGCCAAAGATTAAAATAACACATATTCTGCAATTAAAATACTTATTATGAAAAATACTTTGAACGAAATTGGACTTACATACATATATATGATTGAAAATAATATGGATTGATCTATCGATCAATGTCTGGCTCATTATTACCCTGGAGACTTTACGAGTGAACAAACGGCTTCCTATGCGCTAGCTAATAGTGTTTGTTGAAATACCAAGGAAGAATTGAAATGTGCAGGAAACCACGCCATGGGAAAAGTTCTGTAAGCATCGTGTTGAACACTTAGTGACATATAACACATCACAACAGACAACGACACTTGCGTCATTGAAAGCCAACCAATGACATACACCGAACGTTGTCTTTGAACTTTTGCGTTCACCACCAGATCATTCCAGTCACACACGGAACTTACAAATTTCTTTTCATTCGCGTTCTGTCATTAGCCATCCACAGATTCATTATATTACTATTTTATTATATTATTATTTCTAAGGCAAATATCAGCTCATGATAGAGTCACATTTGTACAACCGACTCTGTTTTTTGGCAGACACTCCTTATAAATGTGGAAAGGGTTTTGTCGCTTCTTTTTGCCACGTGCTGTGTGGATGCATAGTCTGTTAGGTTAGGCCAAATTGTAATGGACAAGAGTTTTATCTGTGAGTGTGTCAATCTAATATGGCAAAACAATTCCAAAATAAAACATCCTGTCCAGTGTATATGGAACCAGTGAAGTATACGCTTGTATAGAATGTACAATTTGAAATTCTTCAGATGCCATTTTAACCACACTGTTAATATTAATACCAGTAATAATTTATTTATCATTATCAAGAACTTTTGTTGGATTGAGTCCCATGCGGGATTCGAACCCACACCCTCAGAGTCAGGCACCTAATAGCCAGCACACAAAGTTAGATTCAACCCAACAAAGTACTAAAATCTGTACTTTACTAAGAAAGTGTAATCTCAAATGTAAGATATTTGACAGGTTTTATAGGCTAAAAATATTAATGGATACTTGTTTCAGTCACGATTCGGCTGAAAAACTGACGATATGATAAGAAATGACAACAAAGTCTCTCACTGAATAACGAATGGCTCAAGTATCAGTCGGTCCCACTACATTGCCGTGGCGATGTTTCCATGTTGTCGACATCCACCACTTGATTCCGGCTTAAACTGGATCACAATGAAAACGTAGGTGAGGAGGGTACCGATCATCTGTCCAAACAATGAAGCAAAAGTTATTGATATATTGTAGGCTACAGCTATGTGATGGCGGTCTTTAAATATGGATGACCCGTGAAGGTCCGGGTTAGAATTGATCTTCAGTAACCCATGCTTGTCATAAGAGGCGACTAACGGATCGGATGGTCACAGGCTCGCTGACTGGGTTGACACATATCATCGTATCCCAACTGCGTAGATCGACGTTCATGCTGTTGATCCCTGGATTGTCTGGTCCAGATTATTTACAGACCGCCGCCATATAGCTGCAATATTGCTGAGTGCGGCGTAAAACTAAATTCACTCACTCACAAACAAACAATGGAAAGTGGGCAAGACGTAACATTAACCGACACAGTGAATTTCGATCTTGGCACTGGGAAAAACATGTATCAATCAAATCAGCGAGTCTGGCCGGTTCTTCACGAAGCAACGCAATTGGAGGATAAATACGTACATAAAAGAAACTATGTATGGATATAATGTCATATCTTTAGTGGAGAAAAGAACGGTTTTATGATAAAACCTGGAAAATACCATTGTGGATAAATGCGTGTTGAGTCATATGCATTCAACATACCGTTAGGATAGTGTCCTTCGTGATGGTCATGAGTCCTAAGGCGCTGATTCCGATCTGACGTTGAGACAACTTGTTGGTGAACAGAGTGACCTTGATGTACAGATCGTAAGATAAATATTCAACTGACAACATACAACGTAAACATTTCATCACAATGTATCACATGTGCTTCCTTGCGGGACAGGAACGAAGTGTTTATATTCATATCATAATTATTTATCATTATTTTTGACCCTTAGGGCGTAAGATAAATTGATTTTAGATATGCACGTGCTTCGATCAAAGGCGAGAATTGTAAACTGTACGGTATACAATATATCACATGTACACAGTATATCACATGAAGTATACAGTATATCACAAGTACATAGGGTATCACAGGTACACAGGATACAATATATCACAGGTGCACTGTATATCACATGTAGTATACAATATATCACAGGTACACAGTATATCACAGGTACACAGTATACGGTATAACAAATGTGCACAGTATATGGCATGAAGGGTACAGTACATCACAGGTACACGGGATGTCACAGGTACACAGTATATGGCATGAAGTGTACTGTACATCACAGGTACACAGTATATCACAGGTACACAGTGTATCACATGAAGTATACAGTATATCAAATGTACACAGTATATAACATGAAATATACTATAACACAGGTACACGGAATATCGAATGAAATATACAGTATATCACAGGTACACAGTATATTGCATGAAGCATACGGTGCATCATAGGTACATGATTTCTTTCTGTCGTATTCTGAAATATAGTTAATTAAGGTAATTTAAGCCGTGTAGTAATGATAGATGTACATCGCGTTATTGAAGTGCCGACGTGGACGTGAGAGCGCTACTTGAGCCTTTGACAACAGGCGGTCACGTAGAATGTCCATAAGCTTTACTTTGACAGGGTTCACATTTACAACATGGTGTTCAGCAAAATATAGTATCACAATATTATAAAATAATGTCATTTTCGGTGTGTAACAGGTAGCATACACTATGTCACATACAGTATACAGTATATCACAGGTAGACAGTATATCACAGGTACATCGCATGAAGTATACAGTATATCACAGGTACACAGTATATAACATAAAGTATAAACTACATCACACGAACACCGTATATCCTATGAAATATACAGCACATCACAGGTACACAGTCTACCGCATAAAGTATACAGTATATCACAGGTACACAGTATATCACATAAAGTTTACAATATATCACCAGTACACAGTATATCACAGGTACACAGTATATCACATGTAGTATACAGTATATCACAGGTGCACAGTATATCACAGGTACATAGTATACAGTATATCACAGGTACACAGTATATCACATGAAGTATACAGTATATCACAGGTATACACTATACATTATATCACAGGTACACAGTACAGTATATCACATGAAGTACACAGTATATCACATGTACACAGTATACAGTATATCACAGGTACACAGTATATCACAGGTACACAGTGCATCACATGAAGTGTACAGTATATCACAAGTACACAGTATATCACAGGTACACAGTATACAGTATATCACAGGTACACAGTATATCACAGTATCACAGTATATACGATTTTTCACTATTGCAGTTTGTGCACGTGCCACATGTCGGTATTTAATCTGCAATGTTCAATGATATTTCTGCTACTATGGGACGTATTATTAAGATTATCAGATACCCAGAGATGTCAAATTATTGGCACGGCATTTAAAACAACGAGTCGGGAAATGAATATCCTCTCCACAGTTGTCAGTCGTTTGGACCTAAAAAATACAGGTAAACCCAGAGTGACGGCGAATCAGTTCGGAATCGCCTAAGCAGAGCTAGCGAGAGAGAGAGACAGAGAGAGAGAAAGAGAGAAAGAAAGAGAGAGAGAGAGAGAGACAGAGAGAGAGAGAGAGAGAGAGAGAGAGAGAGAGAGAGAGAGAGAGAGAGAGAGAGAGAGAGAGAGAGAGAGAGAGAGAGAGAGAGAGAGAGAGGCGTTAAGGGTGGAATTATAGCTAAAACAGGTTGCAAAGGCGAATTAGTAAGTATTTAGAGTCTGTTATTAAGGTATTATTGCTTCACTTTGGTACTTCAAGTTTCAACAACGCACGTCTGAAACAGGTTCCAGCCAGCAACCTTTGCAGCTGTACCATTTCTGGCAACAGACGTAGCTGCTCGGATAGACATTTTGACGACGGAACATTAACGTCCAAGCCTCAGGTGTAAAAGGCAATACTTGTGATGGGAAGCACGTCCGTGGAGAAATGTCATGTTTCCTCCTCTACTGAACTGACGGCATGACACATGCCTTGTGGCGTACATCTTGAGAATGAATCAGATTCTGATCAGTCTGATGTAGAAGATGATTTGTGATTCGTACCTTGACAACAATCAACATGTGCAAGCTTTTCTGTTTATAACAATGCATTATCAATCGAACACATACGTTCTGCATTCCTTTCCAGTTGCTATGCCTTTCAACAAAATGACAATTACTTATCAGTTCGGATTAGTGGCATTTTAAAAAAATGAACATGATCGCTAAGACTACCTTGTATTCCATTTTGCTTGCTGTTAAATGGCAAAGCATCATTTGATAATGTGATGTATCTGATTCTGAGATGACTCCTTTGTCCTTCACTGGTAGTGACTCCATGCCATAAATTTGCATGTCCAGGTGGCTGTGCCGATTAGTCGCCTAACGCCCTTAACAGTAAAGATGTTATTTTGACATCATGATAGCTTATGTAGACAGCCTTTTTAGTTTTAAATCATAATTATTGAAATTCAAAATTAACAATGGTAGAACAATTATGATGCATCATGCCAAATTAGGAAACGATTGTAGTTGTAGTTTTGGAGTAAAGTGACCAAACACCGTCATGGAAAGTTTTTCTGCCAGATTATACATACCAGCGTTAACATGTGCCATATACACCTCCACAAGCGGCCAGCGTGTCTGTGCCAAGGAGGTGAAGAATAATGATAACACCACACTGAGAGCACAACGCACCTCCTCGTGTCTTGTGACAGGACAATCACTATTGCCTTTATATCTGTAGAACATGTGGCAGTCATCGAACATATTCTATTCAATGTCAGCCAAATAAATGACAAATCAATAATAAAACACAGTAATGAGTGTATTTTCCACCAGGTCTGTTAATGACAAATGGTAACCCTCGAATGTCCCTCAATATTCTCTTTATTTGATGTATCCACCACATGCAATTAACAGTCTCAGTCTTCAAACTCATAAAGAAAAGGAAGATGGACAAGAACAGAAGCATCAACGAACTGTTCAGCACGAGTCAAGAAGTACCTAGACGTGTCAGTTATCATGGTCATGCTTGCAATGGCCACTCATCCGAATCCGAGAAGAGCCCAATGCAAATCCATGCTCTTCAATTCTATGCTTCAGTCTCGTTTCTGCGACACAACTGTTAAACTACAAGCCAGGACGTTTGTAGAAGATAGGATCTGCATCTTTGAAAGCTTCAAGACTTGAAAGACATGCATAATATAGTATAATCGGCATACAGTTAAGTGTGTAAAATATACCCACCATACTTATCCTGAAACTACCATTTGGTAGCAGTTTGCTGATAGCCCCATGATAACCCGGACAATTCTGTCAGTCTTCGGATACCTGTCAATGTTCCCTGCACGTCATTGGTATCATCTGTGCACGCATTGACATTATTTTTAAATCCTTTGACATTTTCAACAGACTGGATTATAAATATATTGTGTATTCTCTGTGCAAGATGCATGTTTTTATTTTATTGTCAACTCGAAGTCACCTGTATTCAAGGTTGCATCATTTAATTCAGAAGACAGTTCAATACGACAAGACGTAAACAATAGAATATACAGAACTACTAATGACATTGCATGTTACTGGCTGAACACTAAAAAAGACTTTCGTTCAAAAACATGTGATTGATTGATTGAGTGAGTGAGTGTTAAAATTTATAGTTACATCGGCAATATTTCAGCCATATCGTGACTAAAACAGGTAACACGTTAACACTAGTTAATATTACAGTATTATTATATCTTCGACATAGGACAGTAAAACAACTTGAATATCAATTTCTGAAAAATTAAACTAGTATTTAAATTATATACCTATTTGGGACCATACAATATGAAAACGGACTATAGACTGTCAACAACTAAAGGTAGAGCATCATACTAGGGACCATTGGGTCTTACAGTACTTTGCTGCCTGCATGGACCTAAGCTGGATTTACATCATCCCTTATAATAATGTGGGAAAGTCCAAAATGAAATATCCTGTTACAAAGTGCAATGAAGTATACGATTGTATATAATGTACAATTTCAAAATCCTCGGGCATAATATTAGACCGATGGACATTTTATAACCACCATCCTAATAGAGATTAGTGGAACAAAAGGTTCGCAGGACTCTTTTCTTTGTTATAAGTAGCAAACCATAGAGGTGACGGGTTAGGAAATTTCTGTCTTACATGGATTTTTTTGCAAAAGTGAGCCATACTCGTCAATACAAATATGTAACGGGGGCATCAGGGGAAAAACTGTGCAACTATATAGAGCAATGATCCTCTCTTAATTGCTCAGTCATCAATGTCAGAGCCTGTAAAGGCAATTTAAAGTTATAAGATTCTACTCTATTACATGGACCTGAGACTTTACCATTGAGTATTTAAAACTTCTACGATTCATAGTTAAAATATGGAATCTGTTGTGCAGGAACTTCCATGTAGAAACGTTATGCGGCCCATTGCGTTATCTATACAGCACATATGTATATTACGTTCTATAAAGTCAAGCTTACGACTGTGAGGAACTCTACAAGTTCTACAGGGTGGTTCTAACATTAACTAAATTAGAGAATCTGAAAGAAATCATCTTATTTATCAACAAGAATATTATGAATTAAGAAACACAGATGATACTTTCACATCTATATGCACAGATGGACCTAAGGATGGTGATGCATTTGCCAGCGCCACCGTCATTGGATCTTGGTCTCTCACATCAAGATTATCAGATAACTGTTCCAATGATCTCGGTGCTGGCCAACATGACATCTTTTGTTGTTTGTCCAGTCATGTTCACATCGCTGGTAACACAGATAAACCAGCAATAAAACACTCTGTGACACTACTTGTTATCTCATTTGGTGATTATAAATGAGAAATTGTATACATCCAACTCAATATCCTTGTAGAAAATATTTTAAATGCTGGTAAACCTTAGCCCATGTGTATATAGTATTGTTTTGGATAGGCACTCATTACAACTTAGACACAAGCTTTAAATCTTTATCTGTGATAGTCCAGTTCTGTCCCTGTTGTTTGTCGACAGGTTTTATAGTCTAAAAGTATTATTAATGTATACTTGTTTCAGTCACGATTCGGTTTGAAAACGGACGATGTGACATGAAATGACAGTCTCTCACTGAATAACGAACGGCTCAAGCATTAGTCGGTCCCACTATATTGCCGTTGCGTTTCCAGCTTGTCGACATCCACTACTTGATTCCGGTTTAAACTGGATCACAATGAAAACGTAGGTGAGGAGGGTACCGATGATCTGTTCAAACAATGGAGCAAAGTTACTGATGCATTGTAGGGCTACAGACAAGCCTGTTTCAGATATATGATGGGGGTCGTTAAACAGTGGAAAGTGGGCAAGACGTAACATTAACCGACACAGTGAATTGCGATCTCGGCACTTGGGAAATGACATGTATCAATCAAATCAGCGAGTCTGGCCGGTCCTTCAAGAAGCAACGCAATTGGAGGATAAATACGTACAAAAGAGAAGCTATGTGTGGATATAATGTCATATATTTAGTGGACAAAAGAATTGTTTTATACTACAACCTGGAAAAAAATACCATTGTGGATAAATGCGTGTTGAGTTATATGCATTCAACATACCGTTAAGATAGTGTCCTTCGTGATGGTCATGAGTCCTGAGGCATTGATTCCGATCTGACGTTGCGACAACTTGTTGGTGAACAGAGTGACCTAGATGCACAGATCGTAAGATAAATATTCAACTGACAACAGCCAAGGTAAACATTTCACCACAATGTATCACATGTGCTTGTGAGGGCAGGACTGAAGCATTCATATTCATATCATAATCATTTGTGTATAATTATTTTCACCCTTAGGGCGCACCCATAAATTGATTTTAGATATGCAAAAGATCTGATCAAAGACGAGCATTTTAAACTATTCCATAAAATTGAAAATCAGTTGATTTCTGTTCTTAATATGCAAAGTTATTGGTATGCGCAATGCTGGCATGTCAATGAGACCTATTGCAAGAGATGTTGTTTATCATTCATCGACTACT